CTTGGCATTCCCCCAGAGGAGCTGGAGGAAGTGTCTGGAGAGAGGGAAGTCTGGGCATCTTTGCTTAGACTGCTGCCCCCACGACCCGGTCCCGGATAAGCGGAGGAAAATGGATGGATGGATGGATGCTATGATAACAACAACAATATCAATAATAACACATTGACATAATGAATTCTTGGAGTGCTACAACAAATACTACCATCTACTGTAAAATGCTATACTTGTGACAAGGATGTGTGAAATATGTGTCATTTTTAAGGCTGCAGACTGTGATGCTGTTGTTTTAACCACGTTATACAATTCCACATATAGATAAAACCTTTCTGTAATAACTGAATACAACACATGTCAAAACACAGTTGTAAAGCTGAACTATTGCACTAGAAGTCTGAGGGATCTGAACTCCATTAGGGTCGACCTTATATTGATGGTAACATAACAGTCTGCCATGAAATCATCGGGCTATTTATATTACAGCACTTAGCCACTATCTGCTACTGCACTAGTGGTTTCTACACTGATAAGGCTTTGAAAACCCTGACAACAGTTCAAGGTGAACCTCTCTCTCAAATGAAATACAGCAGTAACATTTCTTATTATTGATCATAGAAATGCAGGTGGAAAGGTCTTACCCGTGTGGCAGCATAGACTGAGGCTCCCTGCTTCACCAAGATATCAGCAATGCCAACATGTCCTTCCTGTGCCACCAGATGGAGGGGGGTTAATCCACTCTGTAGGCAACAAAAATCAAACATCAAACACAGCACACATCACCGATATGCGCACACATACTGTATATCCCCATTTCAGTCAGTCTGTCCTCAGTTACGTGATTCTTGCCTTGTTGCCAAGATTGACATTGGCCTGTTTGGAGATGAGCAGGGAGACCATGTCGGGCCTTCCTTCCTGTGAGGCCAGGTGGAGAGGTGTGACTCCCTGCAGTGACTCAGCATTGGCTGAAGCTCCATACTGCAGCAGGCTGTTAGCCACCTCCACCTGGTTCTGCTTGGATGCTATGTGGAGGGCAGTGTAGCCATTCTGGAGCACAGATATTAGTAATAGTCAGGCAAATATGTAAATGCATAAAAGTGAGTCGTTCAGGATTAACTGTGTGTGTGTGTTAGTGTTTTTCCCTTTTACCCTGGCTGCACTATGTGGTGAGCCTCCCTTGCTGACAAGTAAATTAACAATATCCAAGTTGTTGTGATGTACAGCAACATGCAGCGGGGTCAGACCATTCTGCAAAAAACAAACAAAATTTCATCAGGATGTGGTAAATCATACATTCCTTTCCATAAACTGTATCCAAGACAGTTTTGTTTGTCTTACCTTTCCTGCTGCATTAGGGTTGGCTCCTCTTTCCAACAACAGCTCTGCTACATCCAGCTTGCCATACTTGGCAGCCACATGCAGTGGAGTGAAGCCTTTCTACAGAGGCACCAACAGGAATAGGGACACAATATAACCAACTCAAAAAACAGATTAGACAAAGGTTACTTTAGTTAAGATATTGGTCAGAATATGCAGAATGGATGCGGTACCTTGGTCATCTTGGTCTGCTGAGCATCCATGTCCAGTAGGATGCGTACAGTTTGTACATGACCCTCCCGGGCAGCGATGTGTAGAGGTGTGTGGCCTGCTGTGGTGGTAGAGTTGGGGTTTGCCTTGTGCTCCAGCAGCAGCTTCACAAGCTCCTTGTGGCCCATCCGAGCAGCGCAGTGGAGGGGTGTTTGGTCATCCTGATCAGAGGGGGGAAGAGGACTCGTTACATGTAAAATACCATGTAAAGCATGTAAATTAACAGATTTTTCATAATGACTTTATAATACTGTCATAGCTGTTCCAATCTTATCTCCATTTCCAGTCAAAAGGAGGCTGTGGTATGTTGGAGACAAATCCACATGCTCTATCTGCTTCATCAGTTGCTAAATTGACTTTTTTAAAGGAATGCCCTCATGTATCACATAACAAAATGAAGCTTTCAGTATATTGCATACAGTTTAAGTCTATGAGGACTCTTTTGCATGAGTATATGGAAGTATAGATTTTGCTATCATGTGTGAAATCTCTACCTTGGCCTTAGCGTCCACCGGTGCTCCATTCTGCAATAAAAACTCTGTCACCTCATGGTGTCCTGCCCGAGATGCCATATGGAGAGGAGTTTCTACTTTCTGCTCAAACACAAACAGACAAACCAGACAGCAACAACATCATTACCACTAGAGAGGAGAGTTGGTTGTCTGTGCTAGCTTGAGATTTCAGACGGGCCCTCACCACATTGGAGGCGCTGGGGGAAGCTCCTTGCTGTAGCAGGCTCTTCACAATGTTGAGATGGCCCATAAATGATGCTACATGCAAAGGAGTCAGGCCAGACTGTTCAAAAGGATGGCAAAATTAGAATTATGAATAGACTTGCAGATTCTTTAAAGCACATTTAGATGCTTGTGCTTTTAATTAACCCTTTTGAGACCAGTCGTTCCATCTGTTTAATTTCTTCCTGATCCCTCACCTCGGTCACAGCCTCTAATGATGCCGAGCGTTTCTTGCTTATGGTTCTTTTTACAAGCAATATGCAAAGGAGTGAAGCCATTCTATAAAAACAAAGGAACAATTATCCTCACTACAAAAGCTAGAAAGCAGCTTCTTTGAAATGAGAAATGATCTGTGTTCATGTCACTGACCAGTGCCCGAGAGTTGGGTTTGGCCCCTTTGTCCAGCAGTACTTTGGCCATGCGGTGGTGGCCGCAGTGTGCCGCTACATGCAGAGGGGTAAGGTGGTCCAGAGTGATGTCATCAATCTCTGCACTGTACTGCAGAAGCTGCTTGACACAGTCCATGTGGTCCCCCTGCGCTGCCATGTGGATTGGAGACAGCCCATTCTGCAATAAAGAAAACATAGTGACTCTCTCATCTCTTGCAAAACAAGAAGCAAATTGTCTTGAAAACAAACCACCAGAGCACAAAGCAGAAGAAATGGGAATCAGTGGTGCTGTTTGGCTGGTTTGTTTTACAAACTTTAACTTTTGTTTCTTTAATCAAGACTAAAAACAAAAAGCACAAAGGAGCTTTGCACTCATAACTAAAACAGTTGTTGTTCAGTTCATTTTAAGACAAAGGAAGAATTTGTTTTACTTGTCTCTCACCTTAGTCTTTGCCTGGATGGGTGCTCCATGGTCCAGCAGGATCTCTATAATCCTGACATGACCATTTCTGGCTGCGCAGTGTAGAGGAGTCAGCTCATCCTGCAAAGAGATAATTGTTAGTAATTTAGATAATGATGCATCCAATTTGAAACAACAACAGTAAGGAAATCAAAGAGTTTAGGAAACAATAAGATAGAGGTCTGTGGCACCTTGGTCTTGGCATCAATCTGTGCCCCTCTGTCCAGCAGGAGTCGGACCATGATCACATTCCCTCGTCTGGATGCAATGTGCACAGGAGTGATGCCATTCTGCAGAGGGACACAGACGCTCACACTTAGATGCAAAAGAACAGAAAGCAAGGACAAGGGATTAACCTTCGATCAGTACGAGTTGTTCCTACCTTTGGGGTGAAGTTGACATTGGCTCCTCTGTTGAGCAGCAGTTGAGCCACGTTCAAGTTTTCATAGTGTGCAGCAATGTGAAGGGGTGTAAATCCAGTCTGCATGGACACATCAGGGTGAGTACCTTTGCATTTTAGTAACACAAAAACAAACCATACAAGGACACCACAGACAGATGTCCAATCCTACTGTACATATACAATATATTGCATATATGTGGAATCATATGTGCAGCCATGTCCACACACACACACACACACACACACACACACACACACACATACACACACACCTTGCTGAGTACATCCGGATTGGGGTCGTTCTGTAGAAGCACCGCGGCTGTGCGTGTGTCATCATTGCGTGCTGCAATGTGCAATGCAGGGAGGCGGACCTTTCCCTTGGTGCCATAGTTGATGAGCAAGGCTACGACATTTTCGTGTCCCTGCTGAAGAGCTACGGCAAGAGGAGTAAATCCATCCTGCAGCACACAGGTGAGAGTTAGAAGACAGGTTGACTCATGGTGAGAAAAAGAGATGTAAGGAGAGAGTGGGGGTTATGAGAACAAAACAGAATGGAAACACAGCGAGTATGTATCAGCAAGGATGGGACTGAGAATTTCAGGAGATGACTCCGTAAGCTTCTCTCAGTTTTTTGGTACCTCAGTTGGAATGCTTTGATTGGCTCCATTCTCCAGAAGAAACTTCACAACCTCTAGATGGTTTTCTTGTGCAGCCATGTAGAGTGGAGTGAAACCCTTCTGTCTCAGAAACACACACAGCAGCAGCAGCAGCGGCAGGGAAAACACAAGCACAGCAACAGGAAAAACAGGAAAACAGTCACAGAAGCACACACAAGGATGTACACCAAGAGGAAGGACCAGCACACAGAAATACAGGAACAAAGACATGTTAACAGACAGAAATGCAACAGCTGCATGAAAAGATCACATAGTGAGTACTGTGTGATCACTGCTGTGAGAGCAGCACTGGCTCTCACCTGGGACTGAGCGTTGACATTGGCCCCATAGTTAACCAGCTCTGTGACCACCTGTTCCTGGCCGGCCAGGGCTGCGATGTGCAGGGCCGTGTTCCCTTTCTGTTCAAATACAGATTCATGAAAACAAGAGCACACAGTCATAAGAAGCATTAATAAGCATTAATAAGCATTAACAAAGCCTGAACGTAAATTCCCCACGTGTACTCAAAATGCTGGTGGGTACTGGACAACCTGTTAACCAGCCTGACAACCTGACAGCGATGGGACTTTTTCATCTTATTCTTCCTTTAAATGTGAAATTTTGAAATACATATGTTATTTTTTTTAACAAGTGATTTTTTGTTTTAAGTGATAGGGAGCAGATGTTACCTTCGTGGTGGTCTCCAGTACGATTCCATTGTGTAGAAGCTCCAGCACCATTTTGACGTGGCCTTCTTTTGAGGCCAGATGCAGCCCGTTGAGCCCATTCTGAGTGAGAGAGCAGAGCATGCCTCATACTGAAGGGTCCTAACACGCTAGGAACAAAAGTAGTCCCTAATCCTAATGTAAACGAAGTATCCACACATGTATCACAAACACATACAGGCCATGCCAACAGAAAAAAAAAACTGGGGTTGTAATTGTAGTGAAAATTAGGAAGTGAACATTTTCATTTGATTCATAATGGTTAGAGAAGGAGGGGGAGGAGGAAGACGAGACGGGGATGGCAGGCCGCTGGTCTCATGGCTGGGAAGAATAAGAGCCGTGTGGGATAGGTCTGACCTCACACAGCCTTCCTTCAGCCGCACAGGACATGTGAGGTTGGACCTTTCCCACACCACTGATATTATTCCTCTGAGTGGGGAGACCACAGCACACCATCACTCTACTGCAAACAGAGGAGAGAAAAAGGGAGGGAGGTGATGGAGGAAAATGCAAGAAAAAAATGGAGGTGACTTAGAAAACAAGGGGAGAGGGGGCAAGTGGAGGAACTGTTACATTGAGAGGGATACAAGGGGAGGAAAACCATAACAAGGTGAGGCCATGAGTGATGCAGCGTACTGGTGAGCGAACCATGGCAGAGGTGTCCACGCAGACAAGGAAGCAGAAATACAACTGCCACAGTCAAGCCTCCACCTGGCCAAACTCCCATTAGACTGTACATCAGCACTAACAGTCACACAAGAAGAACGACCACCAGGGTTAGAGTGATTGTCTACAACCGCTCCCAAGAATAGATCTTATATAATTCTATATCAACGACTGGGGGGGAAATACAATTATGAAGGTCTACAGATGAATCAATAAGGAAAAGATTTGTTAGTTGCATCCTGTAGAGATTCAATCTGTGAGACTGTGAAGATATGTAAGATACTATAGCATGCATTTAATGTCTTTATTATTGCATTGAGACTTCGTAACATGACAGCTACTATCTGTAGATATGAAAAATTCCCAAATTTGCTGCTATTTCAAGACAGTAGAAAGAAGACAGTGTAGCCTGACAGTGTCATTTTTCTTTAAACAAGATGCAGCCAGATCAAATTGAAAGAAGCTGCAATTTAGGGGCTGTAAGTGGAAATGTGTGAAAAGCAATGTGTGCAAAACTGTCACCTTATAGAAGTAAAATGATAACGCTGTAGACCATCACAAACTCAAACACAAATAAACCAATATCAGCTAAACAATTTAATGAAATTGAAAAATCAGAAGAATTTATCTTACAAGTCAAAAGCTTTCAGAAATTGTGTTTTTGATTGTAATTTTATTTTTAATCCATGGGGTGTCCCTTCATCATCATGAAGAGTCTGCCAATAATGGCCGCCGTACAGTGTCACTTGACCTGAACCAATCTGTTATATGGCATCTGGTATGAGGCCTTCGATTAGGCATCACAGAAATCATGACAGACGCTTTACCAGCAATTTAAAAATGTTGAGGACAGTATACGTGAATAAAGGAGAAACCATGCGAAAGTTAGATCAATGAACCAGAGGAATCTCTTTCTCTCTCTCTCTCACATACAGTATATAGCTTTTGGCCAAGTTTCAGTAGCCTGAGGGTGGCAGTCCTAGCCCACTGGCACTGCCTCGTCCTGGGAACAACTGTCAGAGTAAAAAAAGGTAGGATGGAAGACACAGGGTGAAGGAGAAGCCTCTGCCTCATCTATCTCTTTCCGCAGAGACTCTGCAAACCTGTCACCACTGATTAACAGTCTACATGAGAATGCACATGCAGTGCAATGCACAGGCAGATGAACGGGCACATACAGTAAGAAGACAGAGATCAACTCAGATACATTTAAACAGAAGCAATCATACAACACGTGGTGGTGCACATGGGCAATATCTGAGCAGAACATGATGCAACTATTAAAAATGAAATCCCAGACAGGTCTGTTTTAGAACTTATAGTACTGTGTAAACTGTAGGACCAACATAGTAGTACTGTAGGTCATTCTTCTCTTTAGATCAGGCACAAATGATGAAAAATGACTAATCATTTAACTATTTGAAAATGCTCTTAGCTAAACTGTACTGCCTTTTCCATTCACACATTGCTGCTCTTTTTTTAAATTAGGAGTCTGCAGCACCAACCTGCTGCTCAAATTAATTTAATCAGTTAGAAAGCAGAAAAGGGAAGCAGAAGACTAAATTCTGGCTGGATTCAACTGTGGGTACAAGGTTAGTCAGAAATTGGCTACTCAGATATTTCAGTTTCTATTCTTGCCAAGCACTATAAATGAACATCAGTTTTGCAGATAAGATAAATTCTCTGATGTGAATAAACAGACAAGAGCAGCAAGTGTAAATAAAATAAAAAAAATCACTGGCTTGCCTGTCAAAAGCTACAGTATAACTTCAATCAGCTCAGTGTGGGAAATGTGCAGCTCTCTCACCTGATTGGCTGTATTTATATCGATGCCATTTTTGATATGTTCCAGGGCCTTGTCCAGGTTGCCAGAACGGGCCGCTCTGAGAAAACTGTTGCCAACATCTGTCTGAAGATGAAACACAAAGAGGGAACGAGAGGGGGATAAGGGGTATACGAGAAAGTCAGAGACAAATAAAGTGGAGAAACAGAGAGGAAAAGAGGAGAGGAAGACAGTTTGGTTATTATTTTTCAAAAAAGTACTTTTAAAGACAACACCTTCAGTAGCAGGATGGTGGTCATCTGGTTTCCCCTCATTTCACTCCTGCCTTGCGATTTTGAACAGTGCAGTTTGAAAATGTGCATTTGCACCTTGAGTGTTAGGATGTGTGGTGCACATGTACAGTAAGTGAGGTAACAAATAGTACACACACCCTTCTGAGTCTGAACTCTCTCTTCACTTTACAAAGCCTCTGACAATGTGTCCATAAGTCTATTTGCTGCTCTGTACTCAAGTGATAAGGCAAGTGTGATAACACCGACAAGTCTCTTGTGTGATTGTTGTGCCGAGCAGACTGCTGGGTCTTTGTCTGTGTCTGTGTGAACGAAAGCGAGAGAAAGTGAGAGAGAGAGAGAGAGAGAGAATGAGGGTTTGCTTAGTCCTGGATCATCGGCCAGCACATGGCACAGCTGGTGTTTTTGTCCATTTTGGTTGTGTCTCGGGGCTTCATGCATTTCCAGGCAGACACAGGTGCTGCTGAAACAAGGCCGCTCATGCGGCACAGGGGCAGAGTGAGGGAGAGGAGAACTGTGAGCAACTGAGGGAGAACCTCAGGGAGAAACTTGACTGCAGCAAACCCTGCACCTTTTCACTTCATTTACATAATCTCCAATGTATCCGTGCCCATCCCCTCTCTATCTATCCAGCTATACATGGTGGTCAGGAAAATCCTCAGCCATCCAGTAATTCACTCTGTTTTTACACAAATGAAGACAGATTCATTTACAAAAATCTCATTTTTGGTTTCAAAAGGAAAACACCAAATGCTGCCATCACACACAAAGCTTTAAGCTGTGTTGTGTATTGTTGTGACAAGGTTGTTGGTCCTCTTTGACAGAGACGGAGTGAGCGAGCCTGAGTAAAAGGATCCACATGCCTGGAGTAGAGGCATAGCAACAAATGACACAACACACCCTCAGCATGACACCAATGGCACAACGCTGTGTGCAAAGAGAGGTCACTTTAAAATATATAGTGCAATGACAGGGAAACAGAGGAAAAGTTGCTTCCAGCAGCAAAACAGCATCTGATGGTTTGTTCCCCATATCCGATAGATGGAAATACAATTAATATAGAAATAAAGTCTACACTTAAAGGATGAACATGAAAGAAAAACAAAAGACTGGATGTACTGCAAAGAAAAAGGGATTTCTGAATATACTATATGATACTTAGATAACTACTTTAAATAAACATTTCAGCAGATACTGCTATGTTTCTGAGCCTTTGTCTCTAGTTCAGTCATCTCAGTGTGTAATTGATCTATGGTTGTTAAGCTGTGTTAGTAAGCCATGTTCTCCCTCTTCCCACTGTCTAGACTTTCTCATTCACTTTCACTTTGCAGAGAATGATAATCCACAACCCATTCTCTTCTGTGGGATCCGCCTAAGAAAAAAAAACCCGTCCCCAGTGCACACACACACACACACACACACACACACACACACACAGCACAAGAGTTAAATCTTTACCAAGTGATATAACTTAACAGTATTTGTGTAAGTGTCTGTGTACAAATCCGAAAATCCATTTAGGATTAGGGAGGAAACTGAATAATAGTTAGATGTTCCTAAGAATGACATATTATGTGGTTTATATTTCAAGCTATATGCAAGTGGAAAATGTTATGCCAGTGAGGTTTTCACAGAAATACTGTATTAATGTAATTTATAAATTAATTGTAAGTTTCATAACCTAAAAAAATGCCCATGCCTCTATGCCTGCTGTTAAATTGGATGCATTGCGTGTAGAAGTTAAAGTATTAGAAGGACAGAGTGCATATTGTTTCTGTGGTTTGAGACGTTTGCAGACTTTGCCATGGTGACGCACGAAAAATCCATTCATCAAAGTAGGAGCAAACAGAGCTGGTGCAAAGACCCACAATATCAATGGTCTCACAGCGAATGGCTGCATGGTAATGCCATGGCTGATCCTGACTGAGGCCCCTCTACAGGTGTCCCACCCCTCTGGAGTCAGACCACTATCCCCCCAGAAACAGCCTGCTGAAGCTAACCAAACAACAGAAATTTACACTAGAATCCCTCAGAAAGACTTCAGCAAGATGTTGCTAGTTACAGGGAATTTTCTTTCTCCCCATGGTGAAACTTTCCAAGAGCCCAGTCCTGCATTTTCATGTGTGTGTCTGCATGTTTCTGTGTGTGTGTGTGTGTATCTGCTTGCGTCAAAAAGCAAGTGTGTGGTGTGGTGAGATAAGAATGCAGAGGAACCACACCCACCCACTGATGCAGACATAAAGAGGTACAGAGCACATGTATACAGCACACGCTAGTGGAAACACACACAAAGAGAGCGGTCTAAAAATACTCTGTGGTAATTCCTCTGTTATGTTTTTTGGACCCTGGTATGATTTAGATGAATGAGTCTCCCTCTGATTACTCCCATTGAGAGCAGAGAAGCTTCCAGCTCTGAGGGCTGACCAGAAATGAGCAGGCACATTAATCACACTGCAGCTCCACATTTAATGTTAGCAGTAACAACACACACCGTCATGCAATGTGCATCCAACTGTCCTTAGGCTAAGACAGTGCAAGGCTCCTCCTAATGAAGTTCAGAATTACCAAGTAAACAACCCCCTTATTACCCTCGCTCATCCCAGAAAACCACCTCGGTTTTTCTCTTCCTTCTCTATCCCCTGCTTCTTACAGTACATTTCTCTCTCTCCTCCCTCACTTGCCTCCTCTGCTGGTGCTGCAGTAGACAGAATGACATCACCCCCTCTTTGCTGGACTGCAGTGTGTACGTGTGTGCATGTGCGCCTGAGCAGGCATGGCCAAGATCCACATGCTGACCACGAAGACCTTCCACAACGGACGACTAAAGCTGAGGAATCATCATTTTCACAAGTCAATCACGTGTATGTTTGACGATTCTGAATGGAATCAGACCACATGCGTGAGTGAGAAAAATAAGACGATGTGAAGCATGAATGAGGAGAGACAGATGCTAGAGAGTAGAAAGCAAATTCAAATAGTAAATATCAGGATTTCAGAACATGCTGCTGTGTGTCCACAGTAAGCTTGAAAATGGCTGTGAGGACTTCTGTATGCTCTCTCTCCATCTGAATTACATCTTTGTGTAAATTGTTGCCTTTCAGTCTCGTTGCAGTGGCTGTATGTATGCACTCTGTTGCAATAACAGTAACCTTACTTGTCTGCTTTAAGTGATCTAAAAGCAATATGGAAAACAATCTGGCTTATTCAGGTGATGGAGCCACTGCACCTCAGCAGTACAACATCATTTTAACTCTTTTCTTTCATGTCAAATGCAAAAATGTCAGAGGAAATTTCCTGTAATTTTAGTTAAGGATGCTGTCTACAGCAACTCCAAAGACAGCGAGCCACAGTTTTCAGCTCATTTATTTGTTGCTTTTACTTAAAAATATTGTTATATATATGGGCATATGTTATAAGCAATTTAAACAAAACAAAATTTCATTGCTGCATTTGAAAGATATTTTCAGGCATGAGGACACTCCAAATGAAAAACACAGTTATGTTTTTTGGACCCTGGTATGATTTAGATGAATGAGTCTCCCTCTGATTACTCCCATTGAGAGCAGAGAAGCTTCCAGCTCTGAGGGCTGACCAGAAATGAGCAGGCACATTAATCACACTGCAGCTCCACATTTAATGTTAGCAGTAACAACACACACCGTCATGCAATGTGCATCCAACTGTCCTTAGGCTAAGACAGTGCAAGGCTCCTCCTAATGAAGTTCAGAATTACCAAGTAAACAACCCCCTTATTACCCTCGCTCATCCCAGAAAACCACCTCGGTTTTTCTCTTCCTTCTCTATCCCCTGCTTCTTACAGTACATTTCTCTCTCTCCTCCCTCACTTGCCTCCTCTGCTGGTGCTGCAGTAGACAGAATGACATCACCCCCTCTTTGCTGGACTGCAGTGTGTACGTGTGTGCATGTGCGCCTGAGCAGGCATGGCCAAGATCCACATGCTGACCACGAAGACCTTCCACAACGGACGACTAAAGCTGAGGAATCATCATTTTCACAAGTCAATCACGTGTATGTTTGACGATTCTGAATGGAATCAGACCACATGCGTGAGTGAGAAAAATAAGACGATGTGAAGCATGAATGAGGAGAGACAGATGCTAGAGAGTAGAAAGCAAATTCAAATAGTAAATATCAGGATTTCAGAACATGCTGCTGTGTGTCCACAGTAAGCTTGAAAATGGCTGTGAGGACTTCTGTATGCTCTCTCTCCATCTGAATTACATCTTTGTGTAAATTGTTGCCTTTCAGTCTCGTTGCAGTGGCTGTATGTATGCACTCTGTTGCAATAACAGTAACCTTACTTGTCTGCTTTAAGTGATCTAAAAGCAATATGGAAAACAATCTGGCTTATTCAGGTGATGGAGCCACTGCACCTCAGCAGTACAACATCATTTTAACTCTTTTCTTTCATGTCAAATGCAAAAATGTCAGAGGAAATTTCCTGTAATTTTAGTTAAGGATGCTGTCTACAGCAACTCCAAAGACAGCGAGCCACAGTTTTCAGCTCATTTATTTGTTGCTTTTACTTAAAAATATTGTTATATATATGGGCATATGTTATAAGCAATTTAAACAAAACAAAATTTCATTGCTGCATTTGAAAGATATTTTCAGGCATGAGGACACTCCAAATGAAAAACACAGTTTAAAAAAACAAACAAAAAACAAACTAGAATGACCATTTCACAGTTATATGCCTCCGCCGACCTTGACCATTTACCACTAAAATCTAATCAGATCATCCTTGAATCCAAGTGAACATTTGTGCCAAATTTGAAGAAATCCCACCCAAGGCGCTCCTGAAATATCATGTTC